ACATTAGATATACAACAGTATACACACACACACACACACACACACAACAAAAATACAAAGAAAATTGAATAAAAATGTCAAATTTATAGAGCCCCCACAGGATGTCATTCAGGATGTCAGGATGGCATTCACTTGTAGCATTGCCCAACAGCCCAACATATGTATGTATATATATATATATATATATATATATATATAAAACCCTCATTTACAGGTGCTATGTGTAACAAATTTCAAAGAAAATTGTAATACCTCAGTATAATTATCACGATGAAATAAAAAAATGTGATTTTACATGACTAAGCGTGTAAAATGTGTGGACCAATCTTTCCACGAATGCAACTGCAGCATCATGTTCGCTGCAAATTTATTTTGTGCCATTGAGCAATTTATTTCTATCAAAACTAATCCAGGTACTTTTCTTTAATACTCTATACTGTGTAGGAGCCAGTGTATGCACATTCTCTCAATAATTGTATTTCATGGTGATTCTGAAATCTCTCCCATTATCACGGTTATTGTGACTGTTGATTAAAGACAAACAGAGATCTGCTTAGAAGTTTCCACTTTGGTGGACAATCTACCATCTGCTTCAGGGATTACCACCATGACAGGCACCAATTATCTATTATCCTTACAGCTGTCTCAGCAAATGAGATGCAGAACATGGTCTGCATAACCTTGGTGTTCCAGCTTCCACTGGAATACTGTTCTGTTCTGTGGGAGTTGAAGATCTACCGGACTGGGGCCTTTGTTGGTCTTGGCCTTGTTTTTTTTCCTGTCACAGCAGTCAACTGAATCGCTCTTAATCTGGCCCCTCACCCAGGACCCGGGATTTTGTTCCCCTACCACAGGGAACAAAATCCCAGCGACACTGGGATCACTGTGACATACCTATACCATGGTAAGGTTGCTGTTCATGGAGGGGCATTTCTATCTTTGCTATCACTGTTTGTATGTTACCATTGTACAACCATGGTACGTTCTGGACAGTTTACCAGTCTGTGATGAGGGTGAAAGGTTTCAGTGAAAAGCACAACTGCAGTGCTACTTTTTGCAAATATTTTTCCTGTTGTTTCTTAGCACCAAATCCTGCAAAAAGACAAAACCCTCAACCTCACTGGTTCTCACCAGCCATTGCCATTCAGGCACATCACATATGGTAAATGGGCTGGTTTTATATAGCGCTTTTCTACTCTATCCGAGCACTCAAAATGCTTTATACAACT